GGGGGGGTGTTTTTCCTCAAAAAGGACATTTTGCATCAGTGAGTCTTTGCTTAGATTAGAAAGCCATCTTTCCACTGCGGATCTGATAATAATTCTGTCTCTACAGAAAATTTTGGTGTCTCAAGTTATATAACACAATTTTCTTTTATTCCTTAGCATGAAAACTGATTTTCTCATGCAAGTGACAGAAAGTTTTGAAGCTGGAGTTCTTAAAGCTGTGGATGAACCAGTAGTGTTCCCTGAAGTACTCCTTTAAAATCATGTGAACACGTTCGTTTTAGTACTTTAGTACTTCATATTCCAGCTCAGTTTCAGAAAGAAATTCTTCACATTTCTTCTAAAAGTCAGATCAACCACTATTTAACTCTAAATCAGAGCTGTTAAACACATTTTACATCATAACTTACACACTGCCCAGTTTGATCTCAAGTGGCTCAGATGGGTAAAATAACCAATAACCTTGTGGTTATAAGCTAATAACCTATAACCCACTTCCAACATGTTCCGCTTTCTGTCAGGATAAGGAAGTTTAACTATATGTGTCCATATTTAATGTCTGAGATTCTTAAAAAGAAGAAGTGCAAGTTCAATAATACGCCCATGTTTTTAAATAAAGAAATGCCACTAAAGTAAATCAAAGAAAATCAAATTTCCACACAAAATAGTGAAAAGCAGGAAGTGTTCGTCATGTTTTGGTTTATCTCTTTCTTACTTTGGTGTAGTGTGCCAGGCCACAAATTGTGTCTTTGTCAGTAAGAAAGGCAAAACAAAAGGACAACATTTATGTCCTTCTTTGTGATCTTTTCACATTTTTCGAGAAATCTCTTGGGTCGAATTGGACCCTTTGTTGGGCCAGTTCTGGCCCCCCCAGGCCACATGTTTAACCAATAGTTAATAGTTAAAGGTATGTTCTGGGAATTTTCAAGGACAGAAAGAGGCGGTTATAAAGAGTATCATAAAGTAGTCTCATAGTGTGTGTTTCACTAAATTAAACTGATAAATCTGAAAACGTTCCACAAAATATAAATCAAGTCAGTTCATTTGTATAGCACCAAATCACAACAACAGTTGCCTCAAGGTGCTTTATATTGTAGAGACCATACAATAATACAGAAAAACACAGAAACCCCAACAATCAGATGACGTGATCAAGTGCTTTGGTAACAGTGGGAAGGAAAACTCCCTTTTAACAGGAAGAAACCTCCACAGAACCAGGCTCAGACAGTGGCAGCCATCTGCCACAACCGGCTATTATAAACAAAAAGTTGCCCCCAAAATTCAAAAAAATATACTTTTTGGTATAAACCTGTAACTGGCAGTGATGCTCAAGAGTGCATTTAACAAACCTCTATGACCTCTGACCCTTTTATTGTTCTTCTTTGGTTTTCTCCAAAGTTAGCTCCATGGATAAGACTTCTGCGAAGATCCAGCAACAATTCTGGCATTTGAAATTTAAAATTCACCCTTTGTGACCCTTGGTTTTATTACACTGGTCAACATCTTTTCAGAAGCTGCCTGCTTTGTATATAAAATAGGCGATTTCATATGTACTTTTTCCTGCTACCAGGAAGGTCAAATCCAAGGCCAAACAGAAGAAGTCAAAAGTCAAACAGATAATTGCATTTAGAATTCATACAAGACCAATGTCAACACAACAGAGTGGCCATGTGAAGATTAGTACAGGT